AATACATCGTATCATACATAGTTCTCATATCGTATGATCATCCTAGAACATCACATCCATCAAATATATGTATATGTAAATTTATATGTGTATATATATGGGTATGAATGTGTGTATGTGTATGTAAATGTATATGTATGTGTATGTGTATGAATATGTATGTATATATATGTATATGTGTAATGTATGTATATATAGATATATGTATATGCTTATGTATAATATAGTTTTTATATTATTTTTTAAATTAAAAAAATATTTACGATGGAATGATCTGTCGCAATCTGTCACAAATTTTTAATTGCGACATATTCGCTTTGTATTTGCGATAGATTTTTTCTGTCGTAAATTCGTGTTTTTCTTGTAGTGAGAGAGCAAAAGGAGTAGAAAACATGGATTATGTAACATCACGGACGAACCGAGAACATTTGGAGTTGTTTCGGAGAAAACGTGAAGCTCGAAAAAGTTAGATTGTGCAAGTCTAATAACTTTCACTCTACGAGTCCAAATCATGCATTCTCTATACCATTGGAAACATCTCTTCGATATCTACGCATAGACACCAAGATCACCCAAATCCGATTTCAGAGCAGAACGTTATGAGCGAATTTGTGAAGCCTATCAAAACTGCTAAGTGACACGATCGTGTCATTTTCAACCACACGATCGGGTCACTTACCAGATTTTGAAAATATTCCGAATTTTGGCCTAGAAAAAGAAGGGTTAACTAGGGTTAGCCTTCAAGGACGAAAATATTCACACTTTTGATAGAAAATACAACCTAGAGCACACAAAAGAGGGGGATTATCAAGAGGCAAGAGATCGGAGTAGAATATGGAGATTACGAAGGCGGAAAATCGACTAAGCATTCTTTTTTTCTTCTATTTTACGATGTTTTATATTATTGATATGAACACTGACATCTCGATGTTTAGTGAATAGTTCCTCTGCTGTAGATTAGGGATTTGCTATTTAAGGATCTTTGATTTTTAATTCCAAACTCTGTGAATTTATTTATTCTATTTGGTTTATTGAATTGTTCTTAGTGCGTTCGGTCTTGTTAATCGGTTGATTGAATGAACTTAGAGTTTTAATTCACATAGAGATATGAGATTCTAACCAGGAAATAATTCAATAAATAAAACCGGTATTACATCGAGAGATAGATATTTGCCTAAGAATTATGATATCGTTCGTTCATGCATCCAAGGTTTTAGACTACTGAATCGAGAGATTAGTAGGATAAAACCTGGATCGTGAGGTTAGACTCGAGAGAGTTAATCTCTACTTTGGAGCTTGAATTTCCCTGAGTTGGCTAGATAAATCATTGAGTTTGCATCTTTTGAAAGATCATTGCATGTAAAGCAATCCCGAAGCCTGCAGTGTTCATAGTTTACAATCTTTTTTATTGTTTGCTTTGCTACACTCTCACACTCATACTATTTTCTCTGTATTTAGACTTGGATTTGGATTTGATTTTGTTGTTTAATTATCCCTGTGTTCGACCCTATCTACTACAATTGATCCGTACACTTGTGGTATTTGTTGATTCTAGTTAATTATCACTTGATTCATATTTCTACACCAAGATTGACGACATCATGTACATAAAATAAAATGATCATATGAATACCACAAAAAAAGAAATCAGGCAGAATAATATTTGATTAGATGCGATAAAGTGTAAGAAATAGAGAAAACAGACGGACAAATCTCAAAACTCAATGATTTCTAAAAGACAATTATCACATAATCGCAGAGAGATATAGACGCGAAGATTTAGTTCAACCAGCAAAAAGATCGAGAGAATAGGTAAATGGACACGGTCGTTATTATCGTTAATTATCTGGTCGCGTTTGCATTCTGTTCATAGTGTAATCACGGTCGTAGTTAGCGTTAATTATCTATTCGTATTTGCATTATGTTCGTAGTATAATCACGGTCGTAGTTATCTGGTCGTAGTGAAATCACGGTTTTAATTATCTGATCGTAGTGAAATCACAGTCATAGTTATCTGGTCGTAGTGAAATCATAGTCGTAATTATCTGGTCATAGTCGTAGTTATCTGGTCGTAGTGAAATCACGGTCGTCATTCTGGTCGTAGTGAAATCACGATCGCAGTTATCTAGTCGTAGTTATATGGCATAGTGAAATCACGGTCGTATTTATCTAGTCGCAGGTCGCAGATTGTAGGTCGTAGGTCATGCGACCTACAGCCTGCGACCAAATCATGTGTCATCTGCCAAACCATAGGTCATTTGTCGTATACTGTAGGTCATTTACTGCAGAACGCAGATCATTTTTCACAGACGACAGGTCATCTGCTACAGTTTTCTATTACAAACATTTTATCAAACACCTTATGTACATAAAAAAAATGATCAGAATATCACAGAAAAAGAAATCAACAAGAAGAGTATTTGAACAGATTAGATAAACTGTAAGAAATAGAGAAAATAGAGAAAATATTGGAGAAAAATAAGATCAAATATCTTGTCGCAGACCGCAGGTCACAAGTCGTAGGTCATTCGACCTGCGGCCTGAGACACATGATCTGGTCGTAGGCCGCATGCCGCAGGTCGCAGGTCATACGACCTACGGCCTGCGAGCAAATCATATGTCGTCTGCCAGACTGTAGGTCATCTACCGTAAACTGTAGATCATTTACCGTAGAACGCAAGTCATTTTTCACAAACGACAGGTCATCTGCTACAGTTTTCTATTACACACATTTCATCAAACACCATATGTGCATAAAAAAAATGACCAGAATATCACAGAAAACAAAATCAACCAGAAAAGTATTTGAATAGATTAGATAAACTGTAAGAAACATAAGAAATAGAGAAAATATTGGAGAACAAATAAGATCAAATAGTAAAACGTACCGATTTCTAAAAGATAGATTACCACAAAATCGTAGAAAAATACTATAAATGATCATTTGAGTATTTAGAAAAAAAATATAATATACAAAAATTGTTTTTTTGTGAGATATTTTGCAAATTTCGTTTTTTGTACATTTTGTCAACTGCTTTTTGTCTAATTAAGATAGGGGAGAGAGGGCGCGTGTCGAAATCGAATGCATTCTAAATTTTATTTATAGCCAAAACAAACATCATATCTATTCCCACGTTTTAAAAGTTTTTTTTTTGTATCACGTTTTAAAAGTTAGTTGGGAATAATGTTATTTTATTCAACTCGTTAATCATGTTGTTGTTAGTTGGAATTGATAATAACGATATTTACCCATCTTATCATTTTTTTCCCAATGAGGCAAAAAGGTAATCAATATATCATTTTTATAACATAAGGCTTTTTGTTGATGTTCAAATATCAAGTCACGTTTTGTTAATTGAGATTTATTCTAAAATGGTTGAGAATTCAAGATGTATTATTATTGATAATATTACATTATTACAAAGAGATATAGAAAGAGAATGATAAAAATACAAATACGTTAATATGTCATAGCCTCATAATACAATATATGTAAATATAAATACATCAAAATCTATATATATTAAAAATTATGTTCGAAGGTTTCTCATGAAGACACCTCATCATCCACATTATCATCCATATGGTAACATTCTTAATTTTTATTTCCATTTAATATATTCATTAGCTATATATTTTGATAAGACTAGAATATTATTACAATTATTATTATTATTATTTTAAAATATAAATAATTTATCTTTAGTTTATATGCTAATTATGGTCATAATATGATAACTATTTATATATATATATATATATCGTATCAAACTAGCACTAATTTTTAAAAAAAATATGTTTTTAAGAAATTACAATATTCATTAGTTATATAGATATCGATTATATTAGCACTAAATTTTACACATGGAATATATGCTTTTTAAAAATTAGTTACAAGATATAATAATAATAAGATGTTAACAGATTATTATACTTATTATTATTATTATATCAAAACTAGCACTAATTTTTGAAAAATATGGTTTTAAGAAATTAAAATATTCATTAGTTATATATATATTGATTATATTAGCACTAAATTTTACACATGGAATATATGTTTTTTAAAAATTAGTTACAAGATATAATAATAATAATAATAAAATGTTAACAGATTAGTATTATTATTATTATAATATCAATATATTATTATAATTTTAAAAAATAAACAATTCACTTTTTATTTATACGTTAATTATTGTGGTGTAGCCATCTAAACATCTACATGGAAGTTTTTAAGATTTTGATTGGTTATAAAAATATTTTTTAATTACATATAATTTGTATTTTTTTATTGAACATAATAATTAAGTGGTCATGGAAAAACCTAATAGATATTAGAATTAAAAAAGAAAAAATCATCTTTGTTATATAAACAATCTATTTTGAACTTAATTTATATATTACTGAAATTTTATTTGCTTATATTTATATTTAAAATTTATTTGTGATCTTAATGACTTTATCTTAATAAAAATAACAAAAATAAAACATTACATACAAACCCTAGATTAATATAATTAAGAAACAATATTGTATTCAAGAGAGTCATTGTAAATTTCAATATTTATGCCATGTAAAAGATATTTATTGGAGATTACAACTAAAAAATTTAGAACAAAAAACGCATTGTGGCCAAGACGTTACTTGCATTCATTATCTCACACATAACCACATTTTTTAGTTGTTTTTTTAATTAATCCCAATTTATTGTATAATTGACTTATTATATTCTGTATCAATTACTCTTATTATAACGCCAATTTATCATTTAGTATTAAGTGTTTATACAAATTTCCATTTAATTGTACAAAAGAAACGGCTGTGCGATAGTAAATGGAAAATCAATTTTGTTTTTATTACATTGATTACTGTATTTTCAATTTTATTGCTAGCATAAAATATTAAAAACGTGTAAAGAGAATATATTGACCCACTAACCAATATATATATTATTTAGATGTTATTAACTGTGGTTATATTAAGCGAACATTGGATCATGCTGAAGTGGCCGCTCCTCGAGAGAGCTAGGCCTCATTGGATCGTCCTCCTCTCCATCCGATGTTTAGCGGGTCGTTTGAACTCTTTTGTGTGTTCGTGTTTTTCTTTCAGCTCATGCAATCATCCACCCAACAGTTGTGTACCTTGGATTTATAATCTCAATTCTTATATACTAACTCTTTGTCTTATATAAGCGCTTCTTCGATCAAGCTTAATCGAGACACATGTCCATCGTCAAAGCCAACTTCATTTTTTTTTTGGGAATAATACAGGTCTATGAAGATACACCGGATCGGGTAGGACAGTTTGCACATATTACAAGCTTGATCCATTCCACTGCTGCTTGTAATTGATCCGACCACAAGCCAAAAGATGCGTCTTTGGTGTGGAATGATTGAACTAGAGAGATTGCTAGATGGATCCAAAATCTGCATGGATTTTAGCCTTGTGACCTAATAAAGGTTGGTTCTCATGATCTATTTTCTTTTCCCAAATGCAGAATCATTTAGTTTCCTTTTTTGTTTAACCTTTCGATCTATTACTCGATCAAATCTTGACTGAGATGGTTCCTTTGCAGGTGACAAATTTTTTTAAAAGTATAATCTACATTTTCTTCCAATTTCTCTGCGCTCAAGAGATATAGCCAAAGATTCCAGTATAGCCATGCGTAACAAAAGAAGATCATTGTCTCTTTCTAAAATCACATATTTAACAAATAAAATAAGAGTTGCTATCTTATTTCGATCTTACAAAATTACAATTTATAGTAAATAATTATATTGACATATATTTCAATTTAAACTATCAATTTGATGAAATTTTTAAAAAGAATATAAAATAATTATATATATCATTGATTAAAAAATAGTAATCCAAATAAATTCAATATATCTTTGATTAATATAATTATTTTAAAGAAAGGGTAGAGTAATTTATAATAAATCCAGATAATGTTATTTTTGTTAAGTAGAGTAATTTTGTTTTTAAAGAAAGGGTAAGAAGAAACTTTAGCATCTATTAAATATGTAAACATGGCAACATACAGAAATATTATTGATTTTAGTGAAATAATATAACTGTATTAATATTTTATAATAATTTATTTATTTTATTAGAAATCATTTTATTTTGATAGTATAATATTTCTGTCAGTTAAAAAATTAATTTTTTAAACAAATCTAAAATATAAAAAGTCATAATTTACAGTTTATATATATATAATTATTAAGAATTTCTTATAACTTTAAAATGTATGATTTTTAATATAAATATATTAATTAAAATTCGTTTTAATTGTCCTCATCAACGTTGCTAATGCAACTTCAGTTTTCAAATTAGTTGTTGATATATTTCTTCACTTCCAATTCCATACATTTATTTTTTGCCCAATTTGGATTTTAAACATTCATATTAGACTATCTATTCATTTTTAAAATTTTAGATTGGAATACGCATCTAACTTCAATTATTGTTTTTGGTTCACATGCAAGCTGTTATTTTGTTTAAATATTACTTGTGTTGAGCTTCTGATGAAGATGCTATTCAAAATAACTTTGTTATTATTCTACTACTGCTCAAGTGATATATATATATATATATATTTTACAACTAATTATAGAGATTATATACGTTGGCTATCCCAAAACACTCGATCCGTCATATACACCCAATATATGTAAATCTAAAACTAAGTGTTGAACACGTAACATGCACTACCATCTGACCTCTGCTAATGCAATTGTGGCATCTTCGATTTTTTCATTTTTGGTAAATCATATGCAATCAGTGATGCAAATTCTTTTGTAATAATGAATTTCCATAATGGTTAATAATCTCAGCGACGACGGTATTCAATGCAATGTGTAAAACTGTCTCGACGACGACGGGATTCATTGTGTAAAAACCACAGATATAAAGATGGTTTTAACCATGCAATGTAATATAGTTGTCCATTACATAAGGGAAAAAAAATTTGGAAAAAACATAACTGAAGTTTGCTTAAATATTTTTGATATACTATCCATCCAAACTGATATTTAAGAACCAATATCATTTTTATATTGAGCTTACTAATACATTCTATGTCTCATGTGTTCTATCGCTTAGCACATCAATGTTCACAAAGATTTACATAGATGAAAATCCCAACGTCATCAAAAATTTTCATCGGAGATAAATAAATTATATCATTATTGATACAAACAATACGTATAATATTTAATTAATAATTTAATTTATTACCTCACCCTCTAATTTTTTTAACCCGAAGCAAACGAAGAAAAACAATGGTACCGCGCACAACCACAACATATCATCGTCCTTGAACCTATACATCATCTACGAAGCGATATCAATATTCTATCATTGATTTAGTTATGTTTATAAAAAAAAAATATTTGCGATTTAATATTATGGGATCGAGGCAAGATATATTCTTTTTTATCATATAGTCCAAACCTAACTGGGTATTATTGTGTTAGTTGATTTGGAGCTGATCTTAAAATCATATATTTAATACGTGTAATCCCAACACATGATATATAGATGATACACATAAGGTTATATATATAACGAAATACACAAACAAAAAATGTATATTCAAACAATGAATTCTGTCAATATAATATGATATTAGTCTATGATATACAAAAAACATTTAAATTTATAAATTTAATTCAAACAAATTATTAGTATATCATTTCTTTACCACAATTATAAAAACAATTTTAGTATATATATAAATAATAACCCGCGTATCGTGTGGGTCTTTCTTAAAATTTATATTAATAAATATGTAAATATACTAGTATCTAATCACTAAATACTATTTTCCAATCTTGATATCGATGACTTCGAAAGCGTCAGAGGAGGTAGACGAGAGGATGCAAAACAACGGTTAGACACTTGTGTAGTATCTGCAGGGCCTAACCCTATATAACCATAGTTAAGAGTCGAGATAACATTTTAAAAAGTATGGTTTACGTTAAATTTTTATCATGTAGTATCAAATTTGTATAAAACCCTAAACAAAAGCCATTACAATACATTATTGCACCATTTGATGAACATTGTACCTGACGAACCGGATAACTTTTACAGCCCCTCCTATTCTTATTCTTCTTATTCAACTTTTAATATAAACATATATACGATTATTTCTCTGCGTACACAATTTTTTCTAGAGCGAAGATCTTGCAGTCTTGTTATTCACACCTTTGTCGGAGAGACCAGAGAGTTGTTCCGCGAACCTCGTCATCGCTGGCTCCGGCAATATAACAGACATGACGAATCCGGGCTCACCGTCCTCGTTCTTACATGGTACGAACAAGCTGAGTGCCCCCGTATTTCCCTCTGGGGGCCCCGCGTACACCGGTGGGCCCCACCCAAAGTCCATGTCATCCCAACCCATACGCCTCACGTCGGAAACAAAGAAGGTATCTGAAAGCTTCAGGCGTCGCGGACCGGTCGTTCCCAAGAGATCGGCCAATGACCTGACGTATTCTTCCGTCACGCTCGATTTCGCCGCTTGCACCAACCTTATCGCGAATTCTAAAGGTCGTTCCGTGAGTTCTCTCGCGGTTGTTATGGAAACCGGAGACACAACCACATTCCCGTAGTAGCCCGGCGGTAACGGTGGGTTGCTACAAATGGAACGCGCGTTTACGACGATCATGACTCGCGTTTCGGCATCTGGGAGGGGTCTTAGGGCGATGGTTCGGCAACGCCAGAGGTGTGACGTCAGCAGCTCGGATGTGGTGACATGGATCTTGGCCGGGACGAGTCGACGTACAGCTGAGATCTCTCTGGGGCCGAAGAAGAAATAGCCTTGGACCTGTGGAATGGTATCACTAGCATCGTGCTCGTCATCGTCATCGTACTCGTGGTGTACGTGTGTTACACGCGGTGGGACCCTGGCGCTTAAGAGATGACGGTCCCACGCTGGTGGGATAGACGGTGCGTTGGCACCACGTGTCAACTCCGCCAGCGTCCTTAAGAAAAATGTCATACTAGCAGCGTCACACATGAGATGACAGAAGGTGACGGCGAAGACAAAGCCTCCACATTTTAGCCTCGTAACCTATATAGTTTTAAAAATTAAATGTTTCATGAAAACATATTATAAAGTTATTGAATTAGGGCAAGATCGGGTCGTATCATTTTGTAGACTCTGAATTTGAGAGTTATAAACATGAAAAGATCAATAATTCATTTTGTAAAAAATATCAGTTTCTAAAATAGCGATTTTTACACGTAAATATATCAATATCAATATATATATATATATCTTTGTACATCACACGAGACATCATATGTTTCAATCAGACTATTCTTTCTTTCTTAGTATATGCGTGCCTTGGGAAATATTATGGATAAGGTTGTAAATTGATGTAATTTCTCAAGAAGAAGTGGTGTAACCTGAAGAAGAAGCAGGGGGGAATCAAGAAATCCTAGCGGACCCTCGGTATCAAACAGAAGCTCCTCTAAGCAGGGGAAAGGGGGATGGAGATATTGTCCGAAGTCATCGAGAGCCACGTCAGTGTCGGCCTCGACAAACATTGCACCTTCTCCGTTACAATCCACAATCAGTTTTCCGTTAGGCCCCTCCCTAATCCGGCCGGCGAACGGATAATAGTAAACGAGCGTTTCGGCCAGAGCTTTGCGAATCATTTGAACGGGGTCGGAGTTGTTATTATTGATCATCGACGAATGGTTGTGTCTGTAGAAAAGGATACCATGAACGTGTTCTCTTACAAGGATGTGATCATCAATGTCGGAGAGTTTCTTAAGCTCCCGTGGAGTTGGCTTCGCCGGAGAGATTAGCTCTGGCTCCCGGCGATGTACTTTGAACACCAACGAGGTTGCCTTTGAGATCGGCGCCATAGCCATAGCTAGTTTGGGTAAAAATATAGATTTTTATGAGATTATTTGGAGAGTAAGAAAGAAGACAAAGGATTCCTGTTTGAATTCATCTTGAATTGTGTTGTGGGGTTATATTTATAGTAAAAATTGATATCATATATATCTATTCCCACATTTAATTAATTTATAGGTTTTATTAATATCATAAATGTGGTTGTTTGGGGGTGGAATTGTGTTTTTTCTGCGGTGATAATGTTGGTTTATTCAACCCGCGCGTTAATTGTGTTGTTATTAGTTGGAAGACCAACGAGGATGATATTGATATCTATCCATCTCGTCGTTTTTTCACCACCGAGACAAAAAAAGGCTATAAGTACATCACTTATATCACACATAGACATGATGTTGAGGTTCAAGTATTAAATTACATTTTTTTAATTCAAATTTATTCTAAAATTTTAGAGAATTCGAGATTTAATTAACAAACTTTTGTATAAATTAAAAAATATATATTACAATTGCATCTTTATAAAATTATTTCCATAAAAAATAACTATCACAAAAAATATATAATACAATAATTTAATATCTAACTTTATTTATATTATTATAGTTTTTTAGCTCCGACAGTCGGCGGTGCATTTTGAACATCAACGAGGTTGTCTTTGAGGTCGTTAGTTGCGGCTCTATATCTTATCCGGATGATATCGAGTTTTATATGATTGTTTAATGGAAAATTTTACATTAATGTACCACAAAAAAAAAATCATTGCATTCTATACCTTTACTATTGTAATATTTGTATTCTAGTGTCGAAATCGAATGCATTCTGAATTTTATTTATAGCCAAAAGAAATATCATATCTATTATCACGTTTTAAAAGTTTTTTTTTTCTGTATGATGAGTGTGATACTTTTGTTGGTGGGAGATTGATTAGTTGGGAATAATAACTCGTTAATTATGTTGTTGTTAGTTGGAATTGATAATAACGATATTTACCCATCTTATCATTTTTTTTCCCAATGAGACAAAAGGTAATCAATATATCATTTTTATAACATAAGGCTTTTTGTTGATGTTCAAATATCAAGTCACGTTTTGTTAATTGATATTTATTCTAAAATGGTTGAGAATTCAAGATGTATTATTATTTATAATATTACATTATTACAAAGAGATATAGAAAGAGAATGATAAACAATACAAATACGTTAATATGTCATAGCCTCATAATACAATATATGTAAATATAAATACAACGAAATATTTATATTAATAAATACGTAGATATACAATACAATTTCCAATTCAAATTGATGTAATGAATGTTGCACGGAACAATACAATTTTCAATTCAAACATTCATTCATATAGAATTCAAACGTAAGTCCTACATATATATATATAGAAAAAACAAACTGCAACTAGGAAGTTATAAATCACTAACACACTACGTAAACAACTGCAAATACATAAACTATAAAATATTAACTGCTCCACAAACGTGCATCTCTTTTGCAGGCTTTGAACCACATGATTGCTAACACGGAGAATCAAGGGCCCCTCTCGAACCCTCCACATCAAAAGAAGCTCCTCTAAACAAGGGAAAGGAGGGTAAAGATCTTGTCCGAGGTCACCCAGAGCCACGTCAGCATCGGCCTCGACAAACAATACACCTTCTGAATTACATTCCACCATCAGTTTTCGGTTAGGCCCTTCCCGAAGTCGGCCGGCAAACGGGTAATAGTAAACGAGTGTTTCGGCCAGGGCCTTGCGAATCACTTGGACAGGGTCGGAGTTATTATTGATCATGAACGAAGGGTTGTGTCTGGAGAAAAAGATAGTATGAAAGTGTCTGTCTTAGAAGGATTTGATCATCAATTAATGTCGGAGAGGATATTGAGCTCTCGTGGCGTTGGCTTCGCCGGAGAGGCGACGTGCTTTGAACGCCAACTTTGAGCTTGTTTGGGTAAAATTATATAATTTTATGTGATATTTGAAGTAGGAGAAATGACAATGGATTCTTATTTGAATGCATTACTAACTTTTTAAAAGTTTTTCTACGATAAGTTTGATCATTTGGAGGTGGGATATATATATACATTTTCTTTTAGTGTAGATATTAGTGTATTCACCTTTTTATCGAGAAAATTCTTTCGATTTGTAACGACTACATAAAATATTATGTCTTCTAAAATTTAAGTTGTAAGAATCTTATATTGAATATTAACCTCAAACATTCACCCTCCCGTTCTTGGACTAACCATTCAGTAAATTTTTAGTTTTTATTTTTAATTTACACTTACTTTTAAACCATAAACTCCAAACTCTAAATTATATTCATCTTTAAATCAATTTGAAAAACTTAAATCCTAAATCTCAAAATTTTATAAATTATGATTCATGATTCTAAAGTTTAAAATATGTTTGTTGTTTAAAATTTTATAAATCATATAGAGTCAATAGACCACCAATTGAGTTGGTTATACTAGTTGGAAGATAACTGTTATAATAAATAGATAATTTTATAATAAAAAAAATATGATGTTCACGGATTGAATAGCTTATTTATTAAATTTAAATGGTTGAAAATCAAGATTATTTATAAATAATTTTAAAAATATTTGAAAAAAATGCATTTATAGAAAAATAATCTATATACATAATTTATTAATTAATTTGCCCTAATATTGTCCCACTTTTTTTTTTTTTTTGTCAAATCTGGCATGAACCAAGTGAAAAACCGGGTAAATAATAAGTCATTATGTTAAAAAAATAAATAAAAAATCACACTATATTTTAAAATTCTAAAATCATTGTAAACAGGAAAGATAGAAAAAATGTTTGCAAAATGGTGTATTATATATGTATTTTTTTAGCCCGACTAAAATTATATTCATATCAAATTTAATTGATATTTTTAAATATATTCAAGATAAAAAGCAACAAAAAATGGAAAATATAATTTACCCAAAAAAAAAACAAAAATGGAAAATATATAGATTATGTCTAAATAAAATTATATTTTTTTCTGATAATTTTATAACTCCTACAGACTCAATCACACCCTAAATGACATCTATATATTCATCTTTTTTTTCTTCAATAAAATAGTTTTTTTTATATAAAAAAATGTTTAAAATTTATTATTATCAAGTTAACAACCAACTCAGAACAATACAATTAAAAAAAGCGCGATCGAATTGTAAACTCCCACAGTCACGGACAATCACACGACCATACGGACTATTAGAACTATTGGTTCTAATGGGTTTATTGGTATTAATGGGCCGTTTATCTAATGGGCTTCGTACCTTTAGCTTAAGATTTTCTCTTTTTCGAAGGCCTATTAAGATATTTATTTTTGTAAATGTAAAAATTAAAAGAAGAGGTGGGCTAACGGTTAGTTTTGGTTTATTTTGGGTATTTAACATTTTTTTATTTCTTTATTTTTTAATGTAAAAATTAAAATTCTTGATTTTTTTTAAGCCTAAAAAAGCGATGGGCTAACGGTTAAGCTTTGGTTTATTTTGGGTATTTAACATTTTTTTATTTCTTTATTTTTTAATGTAAAAATTAAAATTCTTGATTTTTTTTAAGCCTAAAAAAGCGATGGGCTAACGGTTAAGCTTTGGTTTATTTTGGGTTTTGAGAATTTCACCTTCTGCAACACCATAAATAAAATTTTAAAATAGATCTATATGTAAATAAAATTCTCGATTCTTCAACAAAAACAAGTTTACTAGAAAACGTTTCCGATTTATTATCAACCAATACATATAGAACAACAAAATAACATAATATATATAAAGTCAAGACATTGATTCGATATCAATGTTATTGTCCATCAACTATTAATATGAAACACATACGTTTAATTCTAGAGCGAAGTCCTCATCGGATCATTAGAACAAAAAAAATGATTCACAGAAACATAATATAAATTCATTTGATTATCATAAATTTTTATACATGAAAAAAGATTTAAAAAAGTTAGATGACACATCTTCTAAAAAATATAACAGTCCACTAATTTTATATAAGAAAAATATGATATTTTTTAAGATTACTTGATTTTAAAAATAAAAATAAAAATTAGATGACACACATATTATAAAAAGGTGTTCATCTTTATTACATCGAAACATACATTTTAATATTGTTTAGAGGAAATGAAAAAAATTACAGTATTTAATAGAGAAAAATATTAAAAAAGAAAATTATAAAAAACGTAGTGGCACCAATTTCAACCCACCAATAACCATATTTATTATTTATTCTTTTTTAATTAATTACAATTATTGTATTATTGTCTTATCATATTTCCTATCATTTATTTTTAATATCAAATCTCTTTTATACATACATATATGTATACATATATATATATATGTATATGAATATATTCGATTTTTTCTTTTTTATATATATGAATATCTTGGAAGATATATAGAGATTATATAAGTGTGTGTATCTATCAAACACGTTGACGAGGGTATGTCATACCTTGGTACAAAAAAATGTCCTAGAATCATATATCCATATCTATTTTTTTATAAATGTTAAGAGATCTTCATCCAATTAATTATTTAATTTTATTTATTTTAGTAGCGTATTTGTATAAAAATATTTAAGAAATGTTATTATCCAATTAATATTTTATTTATTCATATACATACATTACAATTATATTGGCTAAGTATGCTATTGATTGTAAAAAGGTACGAATACATTGATAAATTTATTCAACTAATAATGGTTTTATACTATAAAAATGTGATGATATTCATTTATTCATTTTTTAACATATATATAATAATTTAAAAATATTTTTTTGGTTAGAAAGATAAACAATTTAAATTAATAATAACAAAAAAAATAAACCTCGTGTCGCGCGGTTCTCTTCTAGTTATAGCAACGAGGTCGATCGGCTCCATAGCCATAGCTTGTTTGGGTAAAATAATAGAATTTTATGTGATTATTTGGAGTAAGAAAGAAGATAAAGGATTCATGTTTGAATTCATCTTGAATTGTGTCGTGGAGTTTCATTTATAGTAAAAATTAATATCCTATATATCTATTCCCACATTTAATTAATATATAAGTTTTATTAATATTATCATAAACGTGACTGTTTGGAGGTGGAATAGTGTTTTTTTGTGTAGTGAAATTGAATTATCAAAGGTAGGGATAATGTTGGTTTATTCAACCCACGTGTTAATTGTGTTGTTATTAGTTGGAAGACCAACGACGATGATAGTGATAAAAAAAAACACTACAAGTACATACATCACTTGTATCACATATATATGTATATATATATATATGACATGATGTTGAGGTTCAATTATTAAAGCACATTTTATTTAATTCAAATTTATTCTTATTAGCATTCGTCAACTTTTCATAAGATCTTATCGGCTTGTGCTTTCGTCCCTCTCCAGGACACGAGCGAGCTCTTCCGCGAACCTTTCCATAGCTGGTTCGGGCAACACAACTTGCACGGAGGTTTCCGTCTCACCGGTCTTGTTCTTACGCCGTATGAGCCAGCTAATTTCCCAAACACCTCCTTCGACGAGCCCTCCGTACACCGGCGGGCCCCACCCAAGGTCCACTTCGTCCCTGCCGATGCGCCTCACATCGGACACAATGTAGGTCTCTCGAATCGTCGCGTTCCGCCCGCCTTCCGTTCCAAGTAGGTCGATCATGGACCTGATCCACTCCTCCGTCACGCTGGATTTCGCCTCTTGCACCAGCCTTACAGCGAATTCCAGAGGTCGTCCTGATAGTTCGCTCGCGGTTGTTATGGCTATCGGACTCGTAACCGCATTCCCGTAATAGCCCGGCGGTAGCTGAGGTTTGCGAAGAAAGGGGCGTGCGTTCACCGCAATCGCTAGTCGCGTTTCGGACTCTGGGTGGCAGTTCAGGGCGATGGTTCGGCAACGCCAGAGGAATGAAGCCAACAGTTCGAAGGTGGTGACGCGGTCTCTGAGATCGGGCGGTACGAGTCTGCGTATGGCTGAGATCTCTCCGGGGCCGAATAAGAATGAGCGTTGGACCATTGGGTCATGTGGAGTGGTATCTCTAGCATCGTGAACGCCCTCGTTAACATTCACTAGGTGCGCGGGTGTTACACGCGGTGGGACCTTGGCGGTCAAGAGGTGACGGTCCCAGACCGGTGGGATGGATGGCGCGTTTGAGCCACGCGCAAACTCCTCAAGCGTTCTTAGGAAAAGTCTTTGACCGGTACCGTCGCACATCACATGATTGTAGTTGAAGCCGAGGATAAAGCTTCCGCATTTTAACCGCGTAACCTACACCGTTTTAATTTTGAACAAAAAAAAAATGATTCACGGAAACATAATATAAAATCGTGGAATTAGGACATGATCGGATCATTTCACATTTACAGTCTTCAGAAGCAAATTTTTTGATACCATGACACGACACATAACAAGTTTCAGACACAGACCATTCTTCTTACTTAGGATAATAATATTATTATTATTAAAAAAAATGGTTAATAAGGTTGTGATGTGAGGTAATCTCTTGTAACCTGAAGAAGGAGCAGGGGAGAATCAAGAAACCCTAGCGGACCCTCGGTGTGACACCCGAAACTCGTATCCCGCAATACGAGTTGCGCCACATGGACAAGTAAAATAAAAAAAAATCGCATTTCCAAAAATCCGCGGGAATTTAAAACTTTTATTTTTAGAGTTCAGCGGAAGAAACTTTCTTACATACATATACGGTACATTATTCCAGTTATAATTATACATACACAGTGGTAGTATCACATTATTACAAACCATAAAAGTCTACCACCGATATAACACAAACCGTTCCCCGAAAACGTAAATGTACCGTAGAGAATAATTATACATGATCACTCGGTAGGTCACAACAGTCTTCGATGTCCGCCCCTCGGCTACTGCTGCTCACGACCTGAAACGTTGCGTAACAACGTCCTAAGCTAATTGCTTAGAGAGTGAACTCGGGCGTAACCCGGAGTTCTATTCTCATGGTGCCAGGGAAAGCACAAACATATAGATATATGTGTGTATGTACTAATATTCTAATAAACGGGAATTGAACACATAAATCACAGTAAGCACGCAGCAAACACAATCAAGTCCACACGACAAGTCGGCCGTACGACAAGTCGCAGGACAGAGTCCGTCAAATCGTCTCTACGCGCACCATGCGTAGGTAAGTACTCCCCATGTGCATAGCACAACCACCTCTCTCCTCGGAATCCATCTACTCCTCAACCACTCGGAATCCGGCATACGTATCTTTTTATTTTCTCCGCCCGAACACATCACCCCACCCTAGCATCGATGGCACCTCTCGATGCTAGGCGTGTCCCCACTCCGGCATTGATGTCACCTCTCAATACCGGAGTTCACCTGACGTCGGCTACAACCGACACCGTCGACTATAACGAGAGAGCCAATCGCTGCAACTCTCCCTTGCCGACCATCCGCCGCGGAAATACTTGTCAGGTTCGGGCCCGAACCTGGCAGAGTAAGTCCGTACCACCTCCTCGGGGGACCACAATCCACCCGAATCTCAGGTATATGTATTGCCTCATCCTCGGGAGACTCATCTCCCGGAATCCGCTCCGTCGCTAACGGATACGTTGGCGCGGTTCTAAAAAAAACCGTGTGTTCCTCGTCACGCAATAGTACCGACCCCAATCGGCTATCCACGCAAGTCATCGGGATGCCCATAACCGTCCTGTCATTCGGACGTTGGCGCGATTATATCATCGCCACATTCACAATCATATCCCATACGGGTGGCATCCGACCCGGATCGGATGGCCCGTAGATGGGACGCAATCTCGCAACCATCGTATAATCATTCACAAGCGTCCGTTTCTACAATCACGCGCTAAACGTTAATCCGAACCCTTCCGAATTAACGCTAGTGCCATGCCAGCTACCCCAATCACATGC